GTTTTCAACTTAAATCGCCAAAAAAAAAATTGTTCATCTAGTTAAATAATTTTTTTCTTAGTAATTTCTTTCCTGTTGATTATTGAACACTGAAAATTATTGTGATACCTTCGTTAAGATTGCCATAGATTAGGTGCAAATTTTGTATCTTAAGTCTTAAATCGTTCAAAATATTTGGCCTAGTTAAGATTGCCATAGATTTTGCATAATTAGGCGGTGAAACGCAGTAAGGTGCTCATGCCTTGTATTTTTTTAATTAAATTCTTGGTGGTTGCGTGCTTAAAGTAACTTGTAAACATGTTTTAGAGGATGAGAAAATAGGTTTATCTAGTAATGTGGTTGCTTTACTTGAATAAGGAAAGAGCTTGACATGAATAATATTATGAGTATATCAATAATTCTCACTGTGATTAAGATTTGCTGGTGGTATGATGTAAGGGGCTAGCATTATGACACCTAGAAGAAAGTTTGTGCGTATTGGGCAACCTTTATTTTGAAAAAATGAATCCTATACCGTTAAGGATATTGATCTTCCTTAGTTGTAAAGCTTGGTTTGACTGAAGTTTGAGGATCGCTAGAATTGGATTGGCTTTATGGACTCGTTATGATAAAAAAACCACTAATAAGGTAGGTCAGGTACTGATAGAATGAATGTTGTCGGTTGCCAGGTGCGGATAAAAATTTAACTAGCAGAAGATTTGACCGAAATATGCATAGCATATATATGCATGCTGTAATATATGTATACACACATACATTAAATACTCATGTTTTTCTGTGTATGTTTATGATACCGAGGTTAGCCCAAATCTCATGCAAGACACAAATTTATTAATAACTTAACAAGGGTAGTTACAATGATGACTCAAGGAAAGTAAAAGATACCACATAAATCAAAATATAAAACAAAACATAACAACAACGACTCAACACATAAAGACACGAAACACTGGACGAGGAGGGAGTTCAGTGAGATGATGCTAGGGTGGTAGCTGTGGTGAAGGCTGGTGTGGAAGTGGGACAGCAAGAGACGTTGAATCATAGTCGACATAAGTCGGAAGCATCATCGAAGGCTGAAAACTAGAAGAGGAAGCAACGGGTAGCCTGTAGGAGGAAGGGGAGATGTGGCCTGCTGGGGCAGGGTTGCGGTATGATGCCTTGCAGGGGCAGGGAAGATGTGGCCTACAGGAGAAGGTTGGCGACACAATGCCTGCTGGGGTAGGGGGGGGGGGGGGGGGGGGGGGGGGGGGTGAGGACTGCAGGTGAGAGGTCTATGTAGTGATGTGAGTAGTTGGGAAGATCTGGAGGAGGTTGCCGTCTGCTGGGCATGAGGTGGCAGGAGGTAGGGGGGACAGGGGAGCTACTGGCGGTGATGCTGGAAGACTACAGTGGAGGCGGCTGGAAGGGCAGCAGGTTGGCTGCGAACGGCCTGCAAGGAAGGTGCAGGGTGATCAATGCTAGTCTGGGAGGGCAGTACGTGGTTGTTGTCTGCAGAGAGGCAGCATGTCAATTGCGCGACGATTTGGGAGGAACAGGGAGAACTGGGCGGCTCAAGGTTGGTAGGGAGGTGGCGTGCTAGAGGTTGGCTGGAGCGTCGGTGGACAGTGGGTAGTGGTTGGAACAATGAAGATAAACACCACCTCGAACGTGGTTACAATCGGGAGCAGCTTCCTCTTCGTCGGATACAATTGAATTCATATTTCAAAATCAAGACCCCTAACACTAGATACTTCAACTTCTATTTATAAAAGAATTGACCATAATTCAGGAAACATTTAAATTAAGAAATGAAAAAAAAAATAAAATCAAGATATTAAATTTTAGGAAATGATTAAATCAGGGAATAAGAATAAAATCATGATTTAGGCTTTTAGGAAAGGATTTAAATTAGTAAATGACCTAGGAAGGAAAATAGGAAGATGAAGAAAGGAAAGGAAAAGGAAGAGAGAAAAATGAAAGGAAAGAGTAGGAAGTAGAGGGCGGTGGAGCCCCTTTCCAAGAGGATTGGTCGGTCTAGCTGGGCTGGTCCCGCACCCAGTAGGTCCTCGATGAGCCCTGCGTCAGTCTTCCAAGATTAGGGGAGCTTTGACCTCAACTATCGAAGCTTCTGGATCCTCGAAGTACGGAGTAAGATTTACAACGTTGAATATGGCTGAAATGTTGTAGTCCCCTCGTAAGTCAATCTTGTATACGTTGTCGTTGAGTTTTCACAGAATTCTAAAAGGCTCATCTATCTGGGTTTCAGTTTTTTGAAAGCTCCTATAAGGAATTGTCCTTTTTTTTAACTGAAATCAGACGAGGTCACCTTCTTGAAATATCATCAGAATTGTTCACCAGTTATTTTAAACAAGTGATATAGGACTTGTATTCCACTTTTTAAAAGTTAAAACAATTGTATTTTTGAAGTAATTTGAAAACAATGGCGACATAAATGTAAAAAGCGAAGTTTGGGTGTTAGATATGTAAACATATAGGAATTGGTTGGTATGTGTGTAAATACCCTTAATTTTTCTTTAAACAAGTGATATAGGACTTCTTAAGACCTTGAATTTTTTTCTTGAGATCTACTATGATATGCCCAGGATGCTACACACAAAATTTCTTAGGTCACAGATTTTTATTTTAAGAGATATTATCATTATTATTATTATTGATGAAAACACGATTTTTCTTGAGATCTACTATGATATGCCCAGGATGCTACACAAAATTTCTTAGGTCACAGATTTTTATTTTAAGAGATATTATCATTATTATTATTATTGATGAAAACACGAAGGGTGATGAGAAGGAATTAACCTAATAATTTTTATGCAAATGTCTAACATGGATTTTTAAATAACATGTGTGAATGTGATTTATATTCAAATAATTAAAGATATGTATACTAAAGTTGTTTCTTGTGTTCGAATAGGAGTGACCAAGTATTTTCCTATTTCAAGGGATCGCCTATATCCTTTTGCTTTAGTTATGAATGTTTTTACTAGACATTTACAAAAGGAAGTACCTTGTTGTATGGTTTTTGTTGATATTTTGTTGGTGGAGAAAACTAAAGAAAGAGTTCAGAAAAAACTTAATTTATGGAGGTCTGCATTAGAGTCTAAAGGCATTTTTTTTTTAGTAGATCTAAAACTATACATGAAATGTAAATTTAGTAGTAGTTGATCTAGTGGCAGAGCTGTAAAAATTGATGATCAAATTATTAAAAGGTGTGAACAATTTAGATAACTTGGGTTCATTGCTCAAAGTGATGGTGATATAGATGTGGATGTTATTAGTTGAATTCATATTGGATGGTTGAAGTTTAGAAATGCGTTAGGCCTATTGTGTGATAGAGAAATATTGTTTAAAGTTAAAGGAAAATTTTATAAGATGATGATGAGACCTGCAATGTTTATGTGCAAAGTGTTGGGCTATAAAGAGAAGTATAAAACCAAGTGTTGTTGTGATTAGAATGCTTAGGCAGATGAGGGGCTTTACACTTAGAGACAAAATGCGAAAAAATATCCATGCAAGGCTTGGGGTAGCTCCAGTGATAGACAAGATTAGAGAGAGAGTCGTTTTAGATGATTTGCTTACATTAAACATTGACCATCTCAAGATTGGTCTGGAGAGTAGATGTTTTAGATTTGACTTATGTGAAGAGAGGTAGAGGTAGACTTAGGCTACGTTTGGGGCGGCAGTTTACCTGCAGCGCGGCACCATGCTACTGGTTTCGTTCGTTTGGGGCGGCAGTGCAACCGCGACTTCCTGCAATTTGGTGTAAACGTGGAAATCTCCTCCTTACATGCGGTCCAGCTTCGTCGATCAGCTTTTTACCCCCTTGCCCCCTTTTTACCAGTCCTAACCGCCGACAGTAGATCCCGCGAAAGAAGAGCAAGCCGCGACGGTCGTCTTCCTCCTCTTCTCCGATAGCTGACGATCGTCTTCCTCCACTGTAAGTTTCATGTGCCTCTTCTTCTTTCTTCTTCTTCTTCTCCTCGACAGAAATCAAATAACTCGAGGGAGCCCAAAAAAAACTTGAGCGAGGTTTATTTTGAGAAATTCCTGGGTAAATTAATCTTCTGCATAAGCTCAAAATACTAATTTGGTTATTGAGAGTATTATTCCTCTAGATGGAGCACTTCGTTTTCCCTTTTTCCCTGTTTCGAGCACTTCGTTAGTATTATTCCTCTAGATGGAGCACTTCGTTTTCCCTTTTTCCCTGTTTCGAGCACTTCGTTTTCCCTTTTTCCCTGTTTCGAGTGCTTTTTAAAGCTTTCCTATTCAAACTTGCCAGCAAATGCATTTTTTGTAAAGATTCTTGGGAAATGGTGGGTGCTTTTGATTTCACATTGAACAATGGTGAATTTGATTCAGTGTGTCCTGTTCGTCAATAAATTTATGTAAAATTCTCATTGTGAAATTTTGGTGAGAATTAAAAGATAGTTGGAAGTCGGTGCTAGTCTTGTAAGTAGCAATGTTTCAAGCGTTACGTATGCAGTTATCCCTACTTTATGCTGATGGGTTAAATAGAGCAATAAGCCCATTAATCCTAAACCCTGATATCTTTATAGGATTGAGATGATGCTAGACTTTGAAGAAGAGTATTTGGGAAGTTTTTCGTTGTTGGTATTATAGCTATGAAACCACATTATGGGGATGTTTGGTACCTTCATTTGAGCAAGAATTATCAAGCTTCTGCTTTCAATGGAATTACATGCATTGTAGCTATGAAAGTAACCTTTGAAATGATTCAAACAAATTTACAACAGTATTCCTGTCGCATCTTACCCCATAAGTGAAAAGGGTGGATCAGATAATGTTGAATTCAACTTCATGTTAAAAATAATATCATCATTATTTTACTTATAATTTTATTAGTTTTTTTTTCTTTTTCTTAAGCACTTTCGGTACTCACTGTTAAATGGGTAATGTATCTGAACTTTTATTCTGTTTTGAAGTAAATTTCTGCTTCTGAAATATCAAATATATGACTATCATAATTCTGTTTTAAACAGCTTTACTAAACAGGGACAGAATAGTCATTTTTCTAGAAACAGCTATCCCACAACTGTTTTCACACAGCCGCAACAAACAGACAGTCAGCTTCCCCACAACAACTTTCTAGAGCAGTGCAGCTGCAACTGAAAAGCTGAGAAGCTGCAGCTGCGCCAAATAAACCCTTCAAAAGACTCGGGCATACTGTATAAAACATGATTTTAACTTGTTATCAAATGAAAATATGACACTAAATAAGACACAATGGAGAAAAATGATTCTTGCAGCTGACCTGACTTGGTGGGATAAAGGCCTGTGGTTGTTGTTGTAAAAACTGCTTAAATCAGGCGGGGTTCTCAAATTCTGCATTTCCCGTTCACCACTATAATTGCCCACTACCACCGCATGCATCACCTGCTCGTCCACATATCACGTTTCATCATCTATATGGGAAGATTATCGCAGCAATATGAACTTATTCACAATAGATTGCATCCATGTAAGGTCATTTGTCAGCCATTAAGCCTTTTGATGAGTGCGTAAAATTCATCTTAGTATGATAATCAGTTCGAGGAATTTGAAACTCTTATTTTTTCCTTTTATTCGTAACACGCTTAAATCGGGCGATTTTCAAAATCCAGTATTGCAGCCATTCTCAATCTCTATTTGTACCCATCATCTTATGCCATTTGAAATGTAGGGGCATTTACATGCATAGCACGTTAAATACCACCCCAATTCTGAGTATTTACACTTCTAACACCTAAACATTACTATTTTACATTTATACCACTCAAATCTTTCATATCACATTAGCTTTCAGAAGGTGAAATATGCATTTTCGCACATAGGTAAGGTGACATGTTTGTAAAAATTGAAGCTCAGGTGTTAGATATGTAAATACATAGGGATTAAGTGGCATGTATGTAGATCTTTCTAGAATGTGTCATGACAACCACAGAAGTTATTTCAATATATTCGATTCTTCTTCAATCAAAGAACTCGGACATCTCTAGAACACACACAGTCCAATTACTCCATTTCTAAAATGCATCAATTTTCGCAGACACGGGCTTTGGCTCCGGGAAGGTTCACGCCTGCCTTCGGAAGCTCGCAAATCAAAGTACCTTCTCCGTTAAATTTATGCCTACATTTTCTGGCCTGCAAAAAGCAGAAAAACTTGACAAGTATTTCACTGATAGAAAGCACGGCAAATTAGAATTCCGGCAAATTTCTTCCTTCAAGAAAACCAGCGGACGAGAAGGCGAATCTAAGGAAGAGGAGTTCTTATATGGCTACTTAGCTGTTGCAGAAGACATGGATAAACTGGACCCAGAAACAAAGAGGAGATCTCTGCTTAAAAGTAAGAAGGATGATATTGAAGCCATTGCGGACGCCCCTCTCAAAACCGATTAATGCACTGCTACTGGTATGATTTTGTTTTTAATACTTTGATGTTTATCTGTAGCTTTTGGAAAATCACTTAATTTACGGATTCGTTACGTTGGGATTAATTTTATGTGTGGCTATGATGAGGTGTAGTTTTGTTTTGATGTATGAAACACCAAGTTCATCAAACTTTTGAATGAAATTATAAGTTATCATTCATTTGTTTGTAAGATAATTACAGAATTGCACTTTGATAAATGTAATTTGATAGGGACTTCACTTTTATGTAAATTAGAAGGGGATTTATAAGCACGCCACAGAATTAGTGTATTTACTTGGATATTTTTTTAATGCAACACTCTATGTTTAACTCACATTAAAAATATTGGAGGTAAAATCCGTGTGTGCGTGTAAAAATATGTAATTTCTAAACCAGCACACGAAAATAAACAAAACAAACCAACTAGGCAAACCAATAAAGCAAAACCAGAAGGGCTGGGTATGGCCGAATAATGCCGTACACCCTAGAAGAGATAGAGGTGAGATAGTCGAGCATTTGCCTCTCATACAACCCGTCCTATATCTAAGACAGATTTGTCGGTTGGCTAGAATTGATGAGCGTCTTCAATTTGTGTTTCGGTACATTCGGATTTATCCTTGCTTTCATGCTAATCCTTTAGCATTGATTTGCATTGAAGTTCATCCCCGCCCCATCATTGAGTTGAGGTTCATCCTCGCTCCATTTTCGAATGAGTCCCACTTCGGATCACCCAAGAGATTATATAGCTAACCAACAATAACAAGTAAATACACCTGACTCTGCAACAAACTTGATCACAATAAAGTAAAAACTAAGTTTACTTAAAGTCCCTATAGAAAAGTATTAGCATCACGAAGCACCCCACAAGCACAAAAATTCATCAAAGATTACTTGGACCTAGTGCCGTGCGACAACACCATACACCTTTCTTGGAGGTATTATTTTTAGCACTTACAAAAAAAGTCTTTTATATGCATTTTTGATTTGCAGTTGTCCCATTAAGCACGACCTACTACAAAATATAGATGACAGAAATAACTAACTACTCGTCCTAACATCCAGTCTAGCGCACAGGCTACTTTGCCATGCCATTCATTCTAAGAAGCAATCACAACAATCACATTCACAACAAACTAATAAATCACTATCAAAGTGGACCTAACCTAATTCTAGGGTCAGTAAACTAACCTACTATTTACTTTGTGTAGAGGCAAGAGTGTTGAGTTAAAACTAAGCTTTATATAGAAGTCATAATATTTGTGTTATTTTAGTATTCTAGTTTACACAAAGATAATTTCATTTAAGTTTTTTAATGTATTACTTTTATTAATTATTGTGATTTTTTATGTTTTAATTATTGTGATATTGCTTAAATAAATATATATGCTTATGAGACATATAATATCAATGTCTTATAAAATACCCAAAATTTCTTAAGAAAATGCTTAGGGATCATATAAATTATTTATTCAAAAATATATGAATTTTCTGTATTTTAGAAATTTAGGAATTTTAATTATTATTAAAATTTGATTTATTTTTTAATTTTTCAACTAATGTGTATGATTAGGGTAAATATTTTCAAAATTTTGTGAGGTTTATTCTGAAGGTCATTATTGATCTTGGGCATGATTTGGGGGAGCTTTTTAATTTCCCCTTTTTTAAAATATATTTTATATTTATATTTATTTGAATTTTTAATATATTTTAAAGTACAAAATTATAATAAATTCAAACCGCTTACAATGGATTTCCCGGCACACTCGAAAAATTTCAAATTAATTTGACTTCAAAATGAATTTATTATGAATTATTTATTTGATTATTTAATTATTTAAGTTCTACTTTTAATCAAAATTAACCAAATTTAAGTTATTAATTGATTAAAATTTAATGCAATTTGGATGATCGAATGGAAGTATGTTTGAATGGATTTGGGCCATTCGTTTTCAAATCACATAAATGAACGACATTCATTCATCATCCTCACGTGAACAATGAACCAACAACATTCAACCATATGTGTTTGATCCCGAGAATCAAAGCAACAAAACACAAATCTAATCTGGCCAAATGTATCATCCAAACAAATTCTATGAATCTAACGACCAATTTCCTATGGTGTTAACAATTTTCTTCACAAAAGACTAACTACCGAAGCCTTAACATTATGCTCGGAGAATTTCCTCAAATGCAGGGACGATCTAAGATAGATACAGCCGTGTTGATCCCACGAACAGAATTTTCGATAGTTATATTGGGGTGGATTTGATGTAAAGATTAGAAGGAGGATATGTTGGCTATTTGATGGAAGGATTGAGGAAAGTTTAGTGGAGTTTAGGAACATTTGGGTGACTTTTTAGTGAATCAAAGTAACTAAAATCAGCAACCTTTGGGTTGGATTTGGTGTTGATTTAAGGGCAAGTTTCATGTTGATTTTGGATAACTTTTCAATGTAGAACCTAGGTGTTGTTTAGTGCAAAATTTAACTATTGAATATGTTTGAGTGTGAGATTGAGTCATATTTGAACAACATTTGAGCTTGATTGGGTCTTGATTTGGTAGTCTAAGTTTTATGTTGAATTTAGATAAAATTTGAATTCAGTTTAAGTGTAATTTAGGTTGGAATCACTTCAGATTTTGGTGAAGTTTATGTGAATATTTGATAATTTGATTTGTGTAGGATTTGGATGGTTCGATCATTTTCTTCTTTTAAATGAAATTTGAATGTGGTTTGATTCATATTCATTTTTTTTAACTTGTTTAATTTATAGTTTTGACTTATTTATATTGATTTCACATTTGTTAATTTTGAATTTCATTTTTTAAGTGAATTTGAGTGTGATTTGGTTTAATTTGATTTTAACCTTAATTGTTACTATCAGCTCAATAATGGTTCATATCGAACATCAAAGCAATTATGTTCCCTTTAACCCAAAAGAAAGAGTTACAATCAAGTGGTTAGGTGGGTCTTAAAGAGCCTCTCCTCACTTGCTTAAGTTAAAGGATAGCTTTAACCAACCTAGTCCACAAGGAGAGCCAAAGATCCAAAATTTGCCTATGAAATGACATCAATTCTATAGGCTCAATGGGTCACCTAAAATCATGTTCAATATTTTATGAGATACTCAACTCGATGCCAAAACATGTGTTACTCATTAAAACCAAGTGTATTTCAAACTAAAGGAAATAAAAATTTGATTTTGGTTTTAATTTTAGATTTCAACCATCCACTAGCCCTCTAGAGTAACATCTAAAGAGATCTTAATGCTAGATTCTATACTCTAAGAAAGTATTGGAAAGGAGATTGATTGACCTCACAAAAAAGTGAGGTCAACATAGCTCAAAGGAAAATGTTAATCAAAAGTAAATTTTGCCTTTTTTGTTTTATAAAATTGAATTTAATTATATTATCAATTATAGTTTCACTTTTACTTGATATTTTCCATTTTTCCTATTTCTTTTTATATTTAGGAGCACCGTCAAAATATTTTTAATATTGTATCATAAATTTATTTTTATTCTTATTTTGTACCATAAAGACAAAATTAATCTTGTTTTTTTTTTTAAATATAAATGTGTACAATAGTATCTCATACTAGTACCATAAACGAGCGACTCCTTAAAAGATTTAATAATTTATTTTTCATTTAACTTATATTTTATTTATTTCAACAATTAAATCCATCTATTTTTTCATTTAATGCGGTACAAATAATAAAAGAATTAAAAACCATAAAACAATATATTATTTTCACTTATTTTCATTTAATTATAAGAGTGCTTGTAATATGCCTAACAAATAAAGCATGTTAAAAGACTAAAAGAAATTAATTTTAACACTAATAAATCAATAATTATCCACTTTAATCATTAGGTTTTTAAAATAATGAGCTAAAATATAACTATTAGTTTAAAAGCTTTTCACCCTGTCCCTTTTAAATCACAAGCCCTTCCCATTTTTTGTCAATGATTCCACTCATAATATTTATCATCCATTTACTTATATTTAAATAAAACAATTTATATAAATAAAAACATAAATCTTTCCTCTTTTTCTAGCATCATGAATTCACCTCAATTTCAATGTTTTGTTACTTCATTTATGCTTCCTTATTATAATCAATAAAATCCCAAAATAATATTAATTTAAGATATATAAATAACAAAAAATCTTACCTCCACTCATGCTCTATTTGACTTCTATTCTTGGCGCATGTTAGGACTCGAATCGACCCCGCCTGCTTTGCACACGATGCGCAAGTCAAAGGTGCTATTGACACATGAGGCACCTCTACTTCACTTCTTTTTCTTCCTCTTCATGCACAGAGGCTCGCAACATCGTCTCCCTTCTTACATGACACACCCACGACTACTACCTCGACTCTAATTCCTGCATGTGCATGGCTAGGGTTTGCTTCTCCCCCCTTCACTTAGGATTTATATTATCATTTTTCTCTTCTTTCCCTCACTCTTTTACTCTCATTTTCATTTGATTCGAGCGAGAACACTCGTCTCTTAACTATAATCATTGAGATGATTACATTGTCATTTAAAATTTTCTTCCAACAGTTATTACAAATTTCTCTCCTTATAAAAAATCATCCTCAAAATTTAAAATTAATGAAATAAGCATCCCTAAAATGAAAAGTTATGATTATCTTTTTTACTTTTCTAAAATTTCTCTCAATTAACATCATTTATTTATAAATGTTTCCACAAAATTTTATAAATAAAATTTCTTTATTATGAAACTTCTTAATGTCACAATGCAATATATTCTTAGGCTCTTCTATATACGCCAAATTAGATTGAATATCAATTGAATCTACAACAACATTATTTGATCCGTCAATAATATACCTCATAAATTAAAGTATATGAAAAACATTATGCACTCATGTAAGTGAGTCGATAGAGCCAATCTGTAAGTTACCTTTCCAATCCTCTCCATGATCTCATAATGACTAATACATCTTGAAGCCAACTTTCCTGTCTTTTCAAAAGATTGCACATCTTTCAAAGGACTAACTTTTATAAAAATAAACTCTCCAACTTCATACTCAATTTTTTGTCATGTAACACTATTAAATCTCTCTAATCAGTCAGATCTCAGTAGCATCATCTACCAAATTTTCACATATAATTTTTTTAAAAAATATTTTGACCTCCCACAACAATTCCTACATTTTCCTCCATAAAAAGCTTTATATGGAGCCATATAATACTTCATAACTGTTACTATAAACAAATATAAAAAAATTCTATCAAAGATACATGAGACTCCCATCCTCCACTAAAATAAAGTACTTTTATGAGCAGACTTACATATTCTTGTTAACTTTCAACTCGAAATTAGCTCATTTAAATTAATTAAAAAAAAAAAAAAAGATAATGTTACATTCAAATCTGCACGCACTTATATAGAATAGAAGACATAAACACAAGGCCATAAGAGCTGTTATAACTTAAAATTGAATACTTAAAATTGAATACATACAGACACAATCGAACAAATGACTGCACGTGTTTTACTTATTTATAATTCAAACTAAAAAAAAATTGTTCGTGTTAGGCTTATTTACTAAATAAATGATTCAAACATGAACAATTTAACGAGCCGAATACGAATAGCGAGCTATTCTGATAGCCCTAAATATATCCAACAAACTCAAAATGCTAACCAATTCTATACAAGATCAAACCGTTCAAGGTGCTCCAGCCATTAGCAGAAGTATGACAAACTGAATAAATCCTAGTTAGCGTTCAAGAAATCAAATCTGGTGACAAACTCTTCTATAATGTGCACTATAGACTATAAATGATGAACAAAAAACAAAAAAAATTCACAATCTTCAGAACTTACAGTGCGGTAATTAATACTATTTCACAAATTATACCTTACAGCAGAACAAACCAACACTCCAAAATTACTATTACAGACATCGAAGTACTTAGTTTCTAACTCACGAAATTGACACACAAGTAAATATATTATTTCTCACATAACCCCAACAACCCATCTACTTAATATCTTATGAGCCAACTTAAGCTGCATTAATCTAACAATGTAAATAAGAAAACTCGAACGCATCGGATCTCAGTGACATCGCTCAGCTTCGAACATCATCGATCTTCAAATGCAATTTCTCCGTGTTTTTTCAAGATCGTAAAATCATCAAATAATTGTATTCGACTCAACAAGTACGAAAGGTGGAGACTCAGTTCTAAGAAAGTGCATATACAACAGCAGTTCTGCTTGGGACATAAACTAGGAAGGAGTGTGGCCTGCTGTCATATGTTCCTTCCTGCTTGATTAAGAAGACATGGAGAGTTGTTTAACTTGTACATATTGGGTTGGACAAAGATTACAGGGAATCAGCAGACAACTTACGCTGCTGAAGTAATCTGCAGAAGGATCGATTCGGCTGAAACCGCCAAAAAGTTTGTCATCAGAATCTAGCACAACCTGCAATGAAAAAGTCATGATTCTTTCATGTAAAAAGTTATTACAGAAATTCATTTTGAAAAAAAAGTTAGTAAAAATCAGATATAGTGATGCTGGTTTAGGTGTCACTGATAAACTAGCACCTAAATTTTGTTTTTTAAATTTATACCAGCCAAATCTTCCATATTACATAAAAAATACCATCATTTTAATTTTTAAAAAATGAAATACACCTTTTCATGTATTGGTAAGGAAGCATGCATGTAAAAAATGAAGTTTAGGTATTGAATATGTAAATACATAGCAAATGAGTGGTATATGTATGTAAATCTTCCAACATAAACTTATTTTAAAAACATCAAATAAACTGGAACCGGAACTAGTAGTAAGAACAATGGAACAAAAAAGCAAACTTTTATTAATATATAAATATTGATACAACACTACACAAATAGAAAGAGAATACAATAATAAGTAAATCCCTTAGTCAGGGAGGTAGGAAGATGTCCGAAGGCAGTGATGGTGTCAACGGGGTGGTAGGGCAAGAAGGGAGATGTCGGGGGGTTGTTTGAGTAGTTATGATGGTGTTTGGTTGGTTGTAGGTAGGTAGAGCTTAATGTTACAGGGGAAGTATTAGTGACAGCAGAGTGGAGGCGTATGGGGGTGGTAGGCAACTAGGGGAGAGGCGGGAAAAGGGATCGGTGAGAAGAAGCGAAGGAGATTCAAAGTTTACAAAACCATCTCAGAGAATGATACGACCGAAACACCTGTCGTCGGATACAACCCTAACAAGAGAGAAGAACTCTACACAACAGATTACAAGACAACTCAACTAGAACTGACACTCCAGACACATGAAACAACAATTTATAGGCTCCTCATAGATGGAGGAAGCTTCTACACAAAGGAAGAGTGGGAAGTAGGGCTGTCAATTTGGCTCGTTGTTCATGAACAACTCGTGTTCGGCTCGTTAAACAGCTCGTGTTCGGCTCGTTCGTTAAGCCTAACGAGTCGAACACGAACAAATTTTTAAGCTCGAAATGTAAACGAGCC